TAGCTCTTAACCCTGTCTGTGACAAGCTATATCATATCTAAAATGTAGCTTACAGCAATAAATATCCACCAGATATCCCTAACTAGCTGAAATAGAGATGGCATAATATAACTAGTTGCTGAATTCCTTGAAATATTCCCAGTTATGTAGAAACATTATGGCTTGTTCTTTTTGCATTCAGTGGTCACTTGTGGGTGACATCTTTCAAACACCATATACGTTTCACATTCCACCCAGCTGAAGACAGTGTTGTACTTGTAATTGTGGGAGGAAAAATGGATACATTTGTAATGGTTGGCTGTCGACCTTGTTTTCTTGTCTTAGTCCTCCATACTACTCTAACAACCCCTTGAAATGAAAATAGGGGAATGTATTGATTTAATTCAAGGTACTAAATGACCTGTAATCAATCTAATGCTAGACTTCATTATTTTTAAACTGAAGGACTATCTAATGTGACTTTTTTATTGGTTTGAGAAGTCTGTGCATAAACAATTCAGCATGATGATGGTTTGTACTTACGTTGCTATTGTTATGAGAAGCATATAACATGACTTGAAAACTAGATAGCTAGCATAGCATGCCCAGATGTTGGCAGTAAAATGCATGAGAAATAGAGAACCAGCATCCAGTGCAGAGAAGATTCCCAGTGCTAGCTCTCCTGAAAGATCCCAGTTAATTTTCACATATCCTACTGCCATGGCGGTTACTGAACCTAGAGAGATGATATAAGAATATTGCGTTGTATACCTGCCACGCTATCAAGTAAATAGTAACATACTTATATTTTGATTTTAAAACCCACGGTAAATATTTGACTAGAAGAGTTCTAGTTCCAGTTGTAAGATGTTTATTTTATGCAACAGATTAGTCATTTTTAGACACACACCTGCATTCATCAATTCTTGTCATTTTTCTTGACAAATCATAGGCATAATTATACTCGGTGTATTGGACAAGCTGCTGTGCAAACGGAAAATGTTCTTAGTCTGAATGTCAACAGTATGCACCGGAGCTGGACTACTTTAGAGATAGAATCTGGGCTAATTGATTGTCCTTTCTCCTTCCCAGTTCTGCTTAGAAGACTCTTGGGGTTCCCTGGGGAGCTTAGTAATTCCACTGAGCTTTGTTCATGTCCTTTTAAAATATGCCAAACTCCTTTGTGGCTTTAGAAGCTCAGCCAGAATCCTGAAGCAAATCCTTTGACTGATGAATTTGCCAAGTCCACAGATCTTTTTGTGAAACTTGCTAGGCCAGCCAGACCTTTTATTGATTTTGAAAAATCTACAGAGAACAGTGTTCTCTCATTCTTAATCAGGCAGAGTATCACAATCGCTTACATACCCTAGTGCTTAATGTGTGAACTTGCTGAGCTCTTTGAGATGCGACGTGACACAGAATGGTTATGAAAATTTATCTAAGGAAATACCTTGGGAGTGATTCACTGTTACCTTGCACCTTGTGCAGCCATTTACCCCAGTGCAAAGTGAGTGTAAAACACTGCTGGATCGGGATGGTAGCATTCTGCATTTGTTTTGCACTGGGGTAAATAACTATTCCAGCTGCAGGGTAGCAATGGACCAGGTCCCTAATTCTTTTTTAAAACTCTGGTATCTCAGGATAGTGAAAACAACAAGGTGTCCTTGTGGCACCTTAGAGACTAACACATTTATTTGGGCATAAGCTTTCATGGGCTAAACCCACTTCATCAGGATAGTGAGTTTAACAGTTCGCTTAAAATTTTTGGTGAAAAAATTCTCCTGTAGCCCCACATTGCACATGCCAATTAGGATTTAGAAATTTCTTTTTGGGGCTTAGTTTTTTTAAAGTTCTTGTTTATAAAGGGTGACCACTGGCTCTGTCTTGCAGCCTTTATTCATATGAGTAGCAAGGCAACAGGGTTATATGTGAGAGAAGGCTCAACTAGAGATGGGCCTCTAATGAAACCCTAGATGTGCACTTCAACTCTGGGGATGCTACCACATCACCATATATTACTTCCAAAACCCATGCTTCAGACTGAAATTTATTTGACTGTGAATGCATTAAACATCTGAAAATTAAACTGATCTTCCTGTCATTTGATAGCTAATTCTAATAAGTACACCGGCCTGGGTCTCATTAAGAGAAGTAACGTACACAACAGTACGTTCAAAATGTGCGCCATACTCTATTGAAGGATTTCTCTAACTTTTCATAGTGTGATCCATGTCTTTGGGAGTGTCTCACAGAAGCATCCCTTCCCATTCATGAATGGCTAACATTTCTGTGGCAAACATAGCAAGGCCCATGTGGAAAAATAACAGGGCAGTAATGCCTTTTGAGCTTCTTTGAATGAATTTAGCAGCTGAACACAAGGTCCATGTGATCAGCGTGCTCTCCACAGTCCACCAAGTACTGCACAAAACTCTGGTGATCTAAAGCCTACGCTTTGGGAGGCACCCCCCTAGAGAAATACGTGGCCTGGTGCTAAACTTGAGGCTTTTGGTACGTCTGATGAACTATTATAATTTGAATGTACAACCTGCTTACCCCTACTGTGGAATGCTTGATAGGCATGAAATGGACGTAAACCACATGATAGGTTTTAAATCATGTGTGCTCCTATCTGGTATAGTTTGTATTTTAGAATTTACTAGAGGAAATACTTGAATACTGTATTGTTTACTTACTCAGAAATGTTGCTGCTGCCTCAACAGCCCCATTATAAACGTCATAATTCTGAGCGGGTGCTCTGTCGTCCCATAACACCTGGACGTAATTCACAATCTGGTTATAGCCTGCAGTGGCTAAAGCCCACCATAAGGACCAGTAAAGAAGTTTCTTTGTGCAATAGCATTCCTTTAAATCCTTGCATAACTGCACAAGCATGTGACACTGGTGCTTGTCAGACTGGCATTCAGGCAACGTCCTGGTAATGACAGATGATTTCGCGGCATCTTTGTCCTCTTGGCAACTTGGCTGCTCGTTCATGCTGGGTGCATTTGACGTTGTGTCTTGCCCCATTGTTCCTTGCGGAGTTTCAGGGATACGATTTTTGTGAAAGAACATACTTTTTTTTGGCATTGGTAGAAAAAATGAGGCTAGGAAGGCCAAGGACAGAGAAGCCAAACTAATGGCATTTAGATAAAAATAGGATAGCTCTGCCAAAGATACTAAAAGTTGCCCCAACACCGCTGCAACTGTGGTTGCAACAAGTGTGATGCTTCTGCAATAACTAGTCACTTTCTGATAATGGTCAGCACTGACAACGCTGTAAATGTAGGCGTAATAGGCAACTTCAGTGGCCGTTACCATCCCATAAAAAAACTCCATCCACTGCATGGCTAGCACTCCTTGGAAAATAAAAGCATCAGCCATGTAATAATGAAGCTAAGGCCTTGTAGAATAATGATGGGCTTATAGCGTAGATAGTCCGTAATCAAGAAAACAGGAAACAGTAACACCAGATACGAGTATGTCCAAACTGGGAAAACCTGGTTTGTAACCTGGAAGGGAAAGGAAGGAATTCTGTGATTTTTTTTTTTTTTTTTTTTTTTTTTTGTGTGAATGA